TGCCTTCCACTGCCATCACTGGAAAGAGCTGCTACTCAACGCTGGGTCTACGGAGCCCATACCTGTCCTCCACTGCCATCACTGATAAGAGCTGCTACTCAACGCTGGGTCTCTGAAAGCTCATGTCTACACGCTGAGGTTGACATTGAGGCATAGTGGTAAGGCCACTGCCTGCGATACCACCGTCCCACATGGGCGCTGCCAAAAGTCCCAGCTGCTCCACTTTCGATCCAGCTTCCTGCTAACATATCTGGGAAAGCAGTAGAGGCCTGCCAAGGGCTTTAGGTTCCTGTACCCATGTGGGAAACCTGGGAGGTTTCTGACCTCACTGTGGCTGGGCCCTAGCCCCACAATAGCCATGTAGGGAGTGAAGCAGTGCACGGCAATTTCTGTTTCTCCTTCTCTCACTCTCCTGTAACTGTTTCAAATACATGAAATCTTTTTTTAAAATGCAACTTGTTAGCCCCACCACCGACCTAGGACTCAAAGCTTACTTCTAAAAAAAAAAAAAAAACAGGTTTTTTATTTATTTGATTTTTTTTTTAATTTACAGTTGCAAAGATAAGGGATTTCCCATCCACCATTTCCCTTTCCAATGATGTTACAGCCTGGAAAAAAAAAGCCAGTTACTCAATCCGGCTTTCCTCACATAAGCAGAAGAACTCCACTGAAGTCATTAGAAACTGCAGTCAGGGCTACAGCAGGGAATGCACTGAAGTGCTCCATGTGAGACAAGTGCACTTAGCAAGCTCAACTGCTAGGCTAAGCACTCTCGCACCTGCATTTAACAAGACCCCTAGGGACTGGCACTCCGTTCTGACACTTTGTCACAGACACCCATCTGAACCACTTCCTCTGAGCTCTGAGCTGCTGAATTATCTAGCCAGTTTCTACTCTCTCAAGACGAAGTAAATCACTGTACTATTATGCCCAACGTTAAAACCAGCAGATGAGCGCTGACCATCCCAGGCAGAGCCCTGTCCCAGTGACCGGGCTATGGCGGCTGCGGAAGAGAAACAGCCTCCATGCATAAATCACAGGGTTGCTCTGGCCCATTGTATCCACTGGAGAGCTGTACTGGCACAACAGTCTCCAGCAACCACAGGGCAGTACATTAACATTGCCAGGATACCCTCGGGATGCCACCTGCCCCAGTCACCACACCTTAAACTTCTAGTTTGGCAATATCTCCTTAACTTGCATTGTGTTCAGCTCATTAACTTGCACACACCCAGGAAAAGCGTACTGAAGCATCAAGGTTTTTGTTTAAAATCTCATACTCTTCCGCTCCCCCACCCCCTTTAACTTATTCCGACATTAATTTCCCGTCTGCTGGATGACTTCCCAAATTGCCCCCAACAGCTTGGGGCTGGGCCCTGCTGAAGCGAGCTGCTCAGTCGGGGTGGCGGGGAACCAATCAATTACCAGCTGTATTACTAGACAGTGTGTGAGCCCGGGAGCAAGGACGCCACATTCAGCCCTGAGGACCCCACAGTCAGCCCTTAGGACGCCACATTCAGCCCTTAGGACCCCACAGTCAGCCCTTAGGACCCCATGTCACCACGGCTGCCAGGCAGGGAGATCCCGACCTTGCCCTGCTCTTAAGAACGCCTCGGTTTAGTAAGAACTTCGCCCACCAGCTGGACTTCTCCAGCGTGCTCCACACCCCTCAATTCCCAAAACCGTCCAAGGTTCGAGAACCCCCCCGCACACCTAAGGAATTCCTGAAGATTGAGATCCGCGGCCCAAGGAATCAACCCGCCTTAGGCCGCCTCCCAATCTCCGTCCTCCAAAATAATCAGATAGGCAACCAATGCACCACCGGGAGTTCTCCAAAAATGCCATCTTTAAAAAAAAAAAAATCGAGTCCTACTCTCCCAGGACTGCAAAGTGTGCGAGCGCGACCCTCGCCTCTGCGGGCAGCACGAGTCGCACACATGGGGCCCAGCGGGCAGGCTCTGGCGCCTTCAGGGAACCCCGGGAATGTGCGTCCCCCGAAGGCCCGGCGGGCGGGGACCCGATGCATGCGAGGAGCCCAGCGTACCTGGAGAGCCCCTGCGGGCTGGCTAGCCTGGAAAGCAGCCGCCGACCACGCCGCGGCCCTGCGCTCCCAGGTGATGCAACCCCGGGACAGCGGGTAGCGCACAGGGCCGGTCAACACCTAGCGAATCAGAGCGCGCAGCCTTCCACAGGCCAACAAGCCTGGCCCTGATTGGCTTTCCTGGGACCACGCCCACAGTCCTAGTCATGAAAAGCTGTGCTTGCCTGGAATGCTGCTCCAAGCTCAGGAGCAGGTTCTAAGCTGGCGCCCCCCTGGGCCTTGGGGTCAGAGGTGCCAAGTGGACTCCAGCACTAAAAACCACTAAAAAAAAAAAAAAAATGACCCTATTGGATTTTCTTGGGGGAGAGCGCTCGCTCGTTATCCTGTTTGCGTGGCAATCCAGCGGGACCCCTCAGCTCTGTGCCTTATCTCCAATGTAAATAACGCCATAAACACCACATCAGGGCTTGGCTGTTGGGAAGCCAAATCCAGCCTCTTTTCCTGTGGCAGAAGAAGGGAGGCTGTGGAAGCCGGCCTTCACGTCATAGTGGGACTTTAGAATGTTTCCTGTCATGAAAACATTAGCTTATTTATTGTCATTCTTAGGCTTGGCATCCTTCACGGGTAATTCCCTGGGAAACTGCTTTACCCAGTGGGTTGGAATCAGTAGACAGCACCTCCTCAGGAAGGAAGAACATCTTGATAGTTGTCTAGTAGGTATTCAAGTTACTTGAATACTCAGAGTGGCTTGCTGTCCTCAGTCAGAGGAGCCTACATACGTAGTGTGTTCAATGTGATGTCAGATGTTTGATTTCCTGAGGTTACACCCTGGAGCAAGACTGAGGCGTTCAAGCTGTGTCCCTGGAAAACAGGGGAAGTGGAGAGCTAGGCTGATAAATCTGATTTAAAAATTGAAGAGGGCCCACCACAGAAACCTAGCAGCTCAAGTCCTCTCCTTTCATTTGCCTGGATCCCATATGGGCGCGCCGGTTCTAATCCCGGCAGCCCCACTTCCCATCCAGCTCCCTGCATGTGACCTGGGAAAGCAGTCAAGGATGGCCCAAAGCACCCTGCTCCCCCGTGGGAGAACCAGAAGAGGTTCCAGGCTCAGCTCTGACTGTTGGGGCCACTTGTGAACCAATGGATGACAGATTTTCCTGTCTCTCCTCCCTGTATATCTGATTTTCCAATAAAAATAAATATTAAAAATAGGTTTGATAAATATTCTATAGTGACTGTTGCAAAGTATGGAAAGATTAAGTCTGGAAAGAGTCAAATGAATAAAAATGGCTGAAATTTTTAATTGTGTTCAAAATATACTACTTGGACTTAAGAGTTGAATTGATTTTTTGAAAAATTTGAAAATCCAAGAAATCCAATTACAACTATGTTATGTGATTTTTGATTTTTTTTTTTAATCAAAGCGGGAACTGTGGAATGGAAATGCCATTGCTTCTTACTTATTTGCTTTGGGGGTTGACCCAGTGGATGCAAGTTTTTTTTGTTTAGATTTATTTATTTTTATTGGAAAGTCAGATATACAGAGACGAGAGAGAGGAAGATCTTCTGTCTGTTGATTCACTCTCCAAGTGACCGCAACAGCCAGAGCTGAGCCAATCTGAAGCCAGGAGCTTCTTCCAGGTCTCCCATGTGGGCGCAGGGTCCCAAGGCTTTGGGCCATCCTCCACTGCTTTCCCAGGCCACAAGCAGGAAGCTGGATGGGAAGCAGCGCTGTCGGGATACAAACCAGTGCCCATATGGCATCCCCACGCATGCAAGCCAAGGACTTTAGCTGCCACGCTACTGCGCCAGACCTGGATGGGAGATCTGTCTTGTCTCCTTCTGTGTAAATCTGCCTTCCCAACCAAAACGAAATATTTAAAAAGAAAGCAAACAAAAACAAGTAGGCTGATTATAAAAGTGAACCTTGCCTATGTGGAAGACATTTTGACATAGCCAGTTAAGCCTTGAGCTGTGACATCAGCATCCCATGTTGGCTCTTGTCTCACTTAAGCTGGCTTTAAGCCTGGCCCAGACCTAGCCATTGCAAACAATTGGAGAATGAACCACTGGCTGAAAGATAGTTCTCCCTCTCCCTGTCTTCTCTGTGTAACTCTACCCTTCAAATACATAAAAAAATAAATCTTGGGGCTGGTACTGTTGGGTGGACAATAAAATTGCCACCTTGGTGCTGGCATCCTATATGGGAGGCTGTTAGTCCCAGCTGCTCCGCTCCTGATCCAGCTCCTTGCTAACGTGCCTGGGAGGCAGTGGAGATGTTCTCCCTGCCCCCACACGGCAGAACCAAAAGCAGCTCTGGGTTCCTGGCCTCCAGGCTCTGTTGCCACTGCAGGAGGGAATGAGTACACAGACGCTCTGTCTCTCCCACTTTCTCCGTGTAACTCTTACAAATAAAATAAATGTAGGCAAATGAATAAATCTTCGTGTGTCTCCTGGCATGAGAGGTAACTACTGTGTCCTCGCCGGGCAGCTGCCATCCTCCAGCTTGACCACATGCCTGAAGTAGTGAGGTCTGCCCAATCTCGGACTGTGAGCCTCCAAAACCACGAACTGCAAATATATTTTGAAAATTTGTACATAGCCCATGCTGGGTGTTGAATTGTGATAACAAAAGCAAACTATTTCTCATCATCTACTGCTCTATGTTTGGGATGAATAGGCTTGTTTGCATTGACAGGGAACTGTACATGTCTTCCATCCCTGGGCTTCACAGAACTCAGCTATCGAGTGACATGTCCCGCTATTCAGTGAGTCACTCATCAAGACACAGGAAATAAAACTCAAAGTTGTAAATCACTCTTTTAAACAAAAACAAGAAGCTAGTGATGCATATTTGGAACCATCGGAACTATTTAAAATAACCTAGAATTCACACAAAGTGTAACTTGGAAAACACAAATGTTTTAGCCCATTTATTTTAAAAAGCTTCAGATAAATTGTTTATCAAACACTCATTAAGGATGGAGAGCTAATAGACTATTTACAAGAAAGGTACGGGTACTTTACAAAGTTTATGGAGGATGACATTTAAAAATAAATGTATTTGGTGTATAAAGTTTTGAGATGCAGACATAGTTTTACTACAAACATACAGTTTTCACAAACTTTAAAAAGACTTCTCATATTTTGGGGGACTGTTCTGTAAAACTTCAATTTTCTGAAGTAATTATTTAGGGAAGAAAAACAGGATTTCCACAGAAAAAGATGGCGACATGAATGATTTTCCACCAGCCACATTTTGAAGATTTGTTTCACTCTTAAATTTCTTCTGTCAGCCAAAATTATTTTCTGGGTCAATTTCCTCAGGTGAACTTGTCCACATTTCCAATCAAATTCAGTGATGACATTATTTTAGCTTCACTTTTCTTTTTGCTTCTTTATGTTTCTTCCGACAATCCTAGAAAAATCATAAATTCAGGTCTTTGTTAGTGAGCGTACACTGTTTCAATGTATTCAGGAACCATACAGCAGGCTGTGTAGGTTTTTAGGCTGTAGAGGTTACTGCGATTGTCAAGGTTATGGAAATGCAAGCACTCACCATCAGCAGGCTATGTGTTCTGGCTTCCCAGGAACTTTTGCTAGCATTATTTCCCTCTCCTCTCCAGAATAAGTCAGAACCTATTGAGAAAATACAAAATTACTATAAAATGGATAATATCTAGTGTTCAGAATTATTAAGATCTCTAATTCTAGTTGACTATTTTCTTCAATTCTACTAATTTTTTAAAAAGGATTTATTTATTTTTATTGCAAAGTCAGATATTCAGAAGAGGAGAGACAGAGAGGAAGATCTTCTGTCCGATGATTCACTCCCCAAGTGAGCACAACAGCTGGTGCTGCGCTGATCCAAAGCCAGGAGTCAGGAACTTCCTCCAGGTCTCCCATGCAGGTACAGGGTCCCAAGGCCTTGGGCCATCCTCAACTGCTTTCCCAGGCCAGAAGCAGGGAGCTGGATGGGAAGTGGAGCTGCCGGGGTTAGAACCGGTGCCCATATGGGATCCCAGCACATTCAAGGCGAGGATTTAGCCGCTAGGCCACCGTGCAGGGCCCTACTTATCTTCTTTAACTTGACACTTTTTATAAGTAAGACATTATTTTTCAGGAAGTGAGAAATTTTAGTGCTATAACTGATCTCTGTGGATAAAGCTTTGAGTGTCAGTTGTTAAGCAACACAGATGAAGCAGTAAATGGGTGTCCAGCCAGCAGCCACTGAGATGTACTCCACATTACAATTTGGAAGTACAGAGGCTGTTGACACAGGTCATAACCAAGGCCTCCACATTATTATTCATCAGAAAATGGCTATTTTAGGAGTCCGGCAATCAAATCAGCAGTAGTATGATGAAGGTTTCTCTTCAGGCCATCTAGAAACTTCATATCCCTTTTCTTGAATGTACTTCTCACTGTGATCTGGCCAGAATCTCGAGCTGACACTTAAGTTAGGAGTGAAGGGCAGTCAGGACCGCAGATCCCTTGTGCTTTTCTGCCAAGGAGCACAAAGCTGGATTATCCAGAAGAACCAGGGAGTTTTGGCCTGGCATTCATTTCGTTTATCTTGATGTAATCCCATGTGGACTTTTATGGTCCTAAAAATAGTGCAGCAGTCAGCAGGTGGCAGAACCACGGGATGCTACAAAGGGTCAGCATTTCTGGATGGGGGTGACAGTAAGAAGAGCTGTGTGGTTACCATTTACTGGGAAAGTAGACTCACTCACCATGAAGTCTTTCATCATGCTTAGAGAAAAAGAAAAATCGAGTGGTTTGTTTCACAGGCAATGATGCTTCTCTGAAAAAAAGAAGGGCGAGGGAAATAGAGATATTGGTTGGCTTCATTTCAATAATTTCAAAGAAATACTTACATTAGAGGCATAAATCAATGATACCATAAATATACTGATAGATTCTCAAAGACAGTATTTGTTTTCCTCATTTTCCCCGGAGTTAAAAATCATCCTGCTTTCCCTCCAATTCAACATTCCTCTCTCCAAAGGTTTTAACAGTGAAACCTGTTCAACTGTGAGCTGCTGCTTCCCACTCCAGCTGCTCTTACTTCATCCTCACTATTCCTTCCTCACTGCCAGGGTTCCCCACACGCAGGCGATGGGGGCCTGGGCTGGGGGCACCCAGCCTACCTCAGGATCCCATTTCTAGACCCACAAATCACTGCTGGTGTGACTTCCCTTGACGCATTCTTTCTCCCACAGGTGGATCCAAATCTCAAGGGAAAAAGAGACTATTCCAAATTACGTAAGGTAAGGAGCGAAGGAAAAAGGAAGTTGTGGGACAAACTTGGATACTTTGAAAATACACCGAAACACGTCTAACTACCACTTTTATCAATTATGAAATGTTTCTGCACGAGACTGCTTACTCGGGGACGGGCTGTCTGAGATCTGTTTCTTCAGCAGCATCTTCCTCCTCCTCTGAAGTGCTGCTGTCTTGGAAACGAGGGTCCCCCTTGCAGCCAGTCCTCCCAGCCTTCATCGTTTCAACTCGGTAGGTTTCTGTATCAGGACAGGCAGAGATGAGTGTCGGAGCTGAACAATCAGATATTGCTGAACACATGCATTCTCTTACTTTCTCCATAAATATGGAACTCAAACTTTAATACGTTGTTTTTTTTTTTTTTTAAAAAAGGGAGTTTCACCTTTTTTGAATTTTCAAACAGGGAGAAACTGTCATAATTTTGACATTGCCAGGATTTTTTGTGATAAGGAATACAGTGTTGTAAGAAGATATAAAAAAAAATGGTTTATGTATCTTCAAAAATAACAAAATCGGGCCCGGCGCGGTGGTGCAAGTGGTTAAAGGTCCTCGCCTTGCACGCCCGGGATCCCATGTGGGCACCGGTTCTAATCCCCGGCAGCCCCGCTTCCCTTTCAGCTCCCTGCCTGTGGCCTGGGAAGGCAGTCGAGGACGGCCCAGGGCTTTGGGACCCTGCACCCGCGTGGGAGACCCGCAAGAGGCTCCTGGCTTCAGATCGGCATAGTATCGGCCGTTGCGCTCACTTGGGGAGTGAATCATCGGACGGAAGATCTTCCTCTCTGTCTCTCCTCTCTGTATATCCGCCTTTCCAATGAAAAAATAATAAAAATAAATCTTTAAAAAAAAAAATCAAATTTTGCTACTATTTATTTAAAACATGCAAAGGGTACATTTTTTTGCATTTTTCAATCCCAAAATCTTTTGAAAAATCGATGAGAAAGCTACCTACATAACCATCTTCTGCACTGCCAAAAATTTCCCACACACATGTCAGAGATAGCGCACACAGTGCTGGTGTCTAACCAAGCGCAAGTGCAATTTCTCACAAGTGGCCCTCAAAATTAGGTTGACAGTCAATTTGTGCCTCACGGAAACTCCTCGGGGGCAGAAGAGAGGCAAGATGAGGGAAGCAGGCAGAGGATATGCTACAGCATCCCAGTTACAACAGTAAAACCACTAGATGGCTTATGTCATTTTAGAATGCCAGGGCTAGCTATTGATTTGTATCTGTCAAGCACAGCCTGAGCTGCTTGATTCTTTGAAGAATCAAGTTTAGCTGTAGCTGAAATCTGCTGTACAGAGCATCACATGAACATTCGGGATACAGAGCAAGGAACATGCTCCTCAGGAATAAATGCTTTTAGTCACGGTCCATGTTAACTTTCACACGTAAGCCGAAGGAGCTGGGATGCAAAATTGGAAGTACTTCACACTTTTTATACTTTCCCCTACATTCCGGTAAATCACCAAGAGTTAACCTTTTTTTTTTTTAAGATTTATTTGTATTTATTGGAAAGTCACATTTTCAGAGAGGAGAAACAGAAAGATCTTTTGTCTGTAGATTCTGCTACCCAAGCAGCCACAGCGACTGCAGCCATGATGATCTGAAGCCAGGAGCCAGCAGCTTCCTCCGTGTCTCCCACGTGGGTGTCAGGTCCCAGGGCACTGGCCTGTCCTCAACTGCTTTCCCAGCCCACAGGCAGGGAGCTGAGTGGGAAGTGGGGCAGCCAGGACACAAACCGAAACCCACCGGTGCAGCAAAGGTGAGGACAGGACCCAACCACTAGGCTGCTGCCCCAGGCTCGCAAGAGTAAACTTTTTAATAACTGACATAATGATGCCGTGGTACGTTTATACGCAGCCAAGATGATTTGTTTTCTCTATCAATACATGGCACTAGTTTTCTATAAGTTATAGCATTTAAAATTCTACTGAAGACACAAACCTATTTAACATACAGCTTACTACACTACTTTATGGTGGTTTTTACTTAATGCAAACATAGTTTCTCTCAAAGCATCAGTCACAACACATTACCACCATGATGGTGCAGAATTTCATGCTGTTATTTTTTTTTTAAGTGAACCAGTATATTCTGAACAGCAGACAGGAAGAGAGCTCTCCGATTTACTGATTCACTTCTCAAATGCCTCGAGCGGGGGCTGGAACAAACGGAAGGCAGAAGCCTGGAACTCAACCCAGGTCTCCCACATGATGGGAGGGACCCAAACACTTCAGCCATGCCCTGCTGCCTCTGAGGGCGCACATCAGCACAAACGCAGAATCAGGAGTGCAGCTGGAACCTGGGTGCAGGCCCTCCAATCCTGGCCGCAGGCACCCCAAGCAGGGTGCTAGCTGCTGCGCCAAGTGACAACCTTGTAAATCTCACGTTGGTGACACACAAGGAAGACTCAGTCAAGGAATTCACTCACTGCAGACTCAATTGCCTTAAGTGAAAAAAGGGAAGAACAGTACCTTCCTTTGAGTCCTTAGTGTCGGAATCAAAAAAGGAGAATGTGAACCCGGTGGGCTGCTTGGGCGTGGGAGAGTGCGCCCCGGGGCTGTGGATGGCGCCCAGAGCTTTCTCCCCATCGCAGTCCTCATTCCAGGGCGTGTCTTCTTCCTTCTCACTGGCATCTTTCGTAGATAGGAATATTTCTTTCAAATCCGTAGAGATGTTATAATACATTTCTTTAGACACTTCAGGCAGCTTTTCAATTTCTTCCCTTTTTTTCTTTCTTTTTGCTTTACTGAAATGGTAATACGTGGACATGTGACATCACGAAGAAACAAAGTTCTGAGTAATTTCCAGAAATCATTATAATTAATTAATTATAGAAAACTTGGATAACTTTTTATCCAACTAAGAAGTTCCACGCATAAGATTCTTTTACTAAAGGCAGAATCTTGACCAATAAGCCTTCTTACACAAAACCTTTGAAAAAATTACATATTAAATATGAATGAATTTTCTCTTGCCCCCGAACTTCATTTAGAAATTATGGCTAGCTAATAGCTGCCAGGAAGGGAATCACTTAGCCTCAACAGGCTTCAGTTCCCTTACCTATAAAACGGATGCACTAAACCAAATTTTGAACTCCATGTTCATTTCAATTTCTGAAATTATGTGAATTTTATCCAAGTGATGGGAAATAATAACTTTAGAGTTAAAAGTTTCTGTTATAAATCTGCTTTATCTTCAGGAATGAACATTTCTTTCCTCTTTGATGTTAACCAAAATTACACAGAAACTTCCAATACTGAGTTTTTAGTTAATAATAATAATAATAATAAAAAGCCCCTTTCTTTCTATTAAAGTCCATTCCATGTAACATAAATCCAGGTCAAAGTCATTATTGTATTAGCTAAAATAGTAAGTGAAAAGGATACCTAAACAATAATCTTAAGATCTAAGTTATCTCAAAAAGTGAATGTTTCATGCATCATGGGATAAACTAACCTGGCTATATTTTATGACAGATAGGTTCCCAATGGAACCAAGCTATATATAAAAATGGTATCATATAGACTGTATCAGGGAGTACACTGAACTATTATGTGGCCCGCTATCTTTAAAACTGGGCCAGAAACTCTTGGATCAGTTCTTTCAAGAGGCAGAGTTGAATTTCCCATCCATCCCTTGGCTGTGGCCAGGGCTTGGTGAGGTCTTTCAATGAGCAGGCGGCATCAGCACTTCCAGCAAATGACTGCTTAGGCTAGGGTCTCAAGAACAGTCCAAAGGCCCTGGGGAAACCACTGAGAGAATCTGCATGGCCTTGGAGGGGGCTGCAGGTGAAGGGCTTATGCAAGAGTACAGCAAATTCTCCTGGAAACTGGAAGGAAGGGGATCCTTGTGGTGTGGTGGCAGTGAGTTTAGCACCACCGTCGCTTATACTAATATGGCAAATAAAAATGTACAAATCTATTTAGATGAGTTAGTTAAGCAGATCTCCAGGGAACAATTGGAAGAATTTTCTTTTTTTTTCTTCTTCTTGCTGCTAACAGCAAAACGTTAGGAGAGTAAAACTGAAGAGACATTTAAAAAAAAAAAAAAAATCCCTAATGTCCAGAAGGCAAGTGACATAATAATTTAATACTCCTAAGCAAAGATCTTAGCCATGATATGTCAGGAAACACGGGCTAATGGAGGCTGGCTAACTGTGCTCTGTGCAGTCAAGTCTGGCCTGTTGCTATGCTTGAACTGCCTACCAACAACGTTTTTCTTTGACTTGAAATGATTTGGGGGTGGAAATAAAGACGAGTTCTTGACATACAAAAATGATGTAATATGCAAATTTCAATATCCTTTAGTAGTCATTAGAACACAGCCTCTCTCATATATGCATGACTACTTTTCTGCTACAAAAGAGTGAAATTGTAACAAGAGAATGATCTGCAAAGTCACATTAACTATCTTGGCCTCTTTCACAGAAAAAAATCTGTAGAACCAATCTAAAAATTAAGTCATTTGTTATGATCTTACACAGACCTAAGAAACTGTAGTTTTTCAAACAATAGCATTCTCTATGGATATTAAAGCAATTCTCTCAGCAGTTTCTGAAGCCAGGGGGGAAAAAAAAAGATTATTTCAAAATGAAGTTTGAGTGTAACTTTTATCTAAAGCAGTTAACCCAAGCACATTCACAAGAGATCCACAGAGATTTTAAGAGTTTTATTAGCAGAAACACCACTAGCCTCAACTGAAATATTCCAAAACAGAGGCTTTTTAAATCTCCCAACTTCAACAAGCTGTACCGTGGTGCCAGTCCCTATTTCCTCATTTTGAAATTCATTAATTTGATAGGTAGAGAAA